TTTAATAAAGATGAATTATACACAAATATTTGAGATGAAACCTAATTAAATATCTTTCAAACACGATCGAATGAAAACTAATGTCAATAATAATACTGAAATAAACTCCATAGTCAACAATATTACTATTGAAAGTTATTTTATATAGTTGTACAAGATAAGATTTAATACTATTAAACATATTTTTATTTTTATTCTTCAATTTTCAGAATTCGTTATTCTACAAAACATTCTTTATTCAAAAAGTTGTTAAGAGTAATGAATGCACAAGAAAATAAAAATAGTTGAAATATATTAAATGTAATTCTATATTATATTGAGAGAAAAAGTAACTGAAAATAAACTTCAAATAAAACTTAATAGTTAAATTATAATATATTTTTACTTCTTATTATCTTATTTTATAAAATTTATTAATTTCATCAATACGAATCAATATTTATTTTATATTTTATGAAAAATATTGTCATACGATTCTTTTATGATTTATTCATATTTTTTATTCAAAAATTAAATTTCATATAGCGGTGGTTATAAACTGTTTCAATTAATGAATTATTAATTATTCATTCAAACTAATTGACAATAAATAAAACACAGATTTTTTTTTTCTTGTATCTTCACTTATATGATAAATAACTGTTCAAAAGTCTAAAAATTCAATATAAAAATAATTGAAAAATTATATTGAATAATATTATTAGATGTAATATAATCAATGTAATATTAATATTGTCAATTTAATGCAATAAACATTCGTAAGTTTATCCTAAAATACCAAATATTAAAATTAATTATATTAGATATTTAATATTTTTGCGTATTTAAGAATATTTAATATTTTATTCTGTATTATTATTATTATTATTATTATTATTATTATTATTATTATTATTATATTTAGTCAAACATAATCTTTACATTAATTTTCAATTATAATAACTATTGAGCATGAAGTTTAGTATTGTTAATATTCTAATACTAGACGAGAGACAAAATTCAATTAAGACAAGAGATTATATAAAAGAAAAGTGGATCCGAATTGCCTACTGAAAGCGATCGACAGTGGTTTGAGCGTCGAATAATTATAGACCAACAGCAGCCAACATAGAGCTTAAAGAAAATTCTTTCCTCCCTTCTCGCATCTTCTCCTTTTTGTCTTCTCTTCTCTCATCATTTCTAAGCTACAGAAATGGGGGCTCAGCTCCCGTAGTAGTTTGGCACACCGCATTCGAAATTCTATTTTTAATTTAACGGTTTTTGTAATTGTTAAATGAGTTTTTAACTGAATCAGAGTCTTTGCAAATGTTATGCGAACTTTAGAGGAATGCGATTTAATGACATCTACATAAAAAGAACAAAAATAGTGTAGATTTTCAAGACGTTCCATTAAAGTTTTATTTAAAGACGACATCCAAATGGTCGCGAACATTGCTATTTGAGAAAAACGAACTTTTTCCATTTAGTTTTAAAATTATATTTTAATTCATAGACACTTCTATACAGATTCATATTTAAAATAATTTCATTATAAAATTAAGTATGCAATTAATATATTTCCATCCTCGTGAGCATGCGATATAGTTACCAGTAAGCCTTTAATCATCTCTAATTATACACTTTGATTTAAAAATTATATAGCTATATGCCTTACTTATTTTTACAAAGATAAAAACTTTATAAAGTAAATATATTTCTAAAACCATGTCTATGCTAAATAATGACATTAAATTATCCAATATTTTTGACAACAGTGTCATTCAGCTTTACTTTCTAACTTTCTTTAATTCAATATGCAATTACTATGTATTGAAGCAGTGATGTTACATGATATCAAGATTTTTGATGTATCAAAAAAAAAAAAAAAGATGACACGATTAGATTTCAACGATGATATATATGCGTCGTGCTAAATAGTTATATGATAAATTAAACAAATTATTAATTAAAATTATTGATCAGTTTAGAAAACTTTTTATTATTATTTGTTATTAAAATATGCATAAGAAAGATTTTGAAAGACATTTTCTTGAATAATATATTCATGAATCTAAAATTATAGCTTAAATTTACGCTTAAATAGGCTCTGATTCCTTCTACTTTAAAAATTAATACCTTAAACGATTCCATAGAAAATAAAAATTAAAAAATAATAATTACATGTATGAATATAAAAGTATCAGAAGAATTATCAAAAGCAAAAAATTCCATTTACATTTTAAAATGTTATATATTTAATTAGTATATTTATAATTACCGTTAATACGGTTCGATTAGTTTTACTGGAATATAAATTTTGTTTGCCGTAAATTATCACTATAATTCTAATAATATCAGATAAATAATCTGCGCAGGCACCAATAATAGACAAAAAATATCACATATTTAAACGATAATCGATTTATTGCTTCTGCGAATGGGCTTCAATAAAAAAGCTTTTAACTATAATGTCACAATACATAATAAAATTTTCATATTATTTTATAAGTTGGAGTTTTGTAAATTTATATTTTTATTAATTTATATTTTCTATTATAAATTAATATTAGTAATATTATTATAATATGATAAAACGTTTAAATTATATTTATAACATTATGAATAACTTCATATAAATTGGGTAGAATAAAATGAGTCAGAATGAAAAATCTTTATCTTTTTCTTTTAGTATTGTTATATGCTAATTTTAAATAATAATAGAAGTTTCATTTAAATTAATTTTCTTTCACAAAAAATTAGCAAAACTTACATAAATTTAATAAATATACTTCTGTATAATAATCAATTATTGATAAATATAACTCAATACGAATTATCAAGCACATGACTCAATATATTATTAATTATTTAATTCTGATAATTTGCAATTAATAAAGAAATTACGATGTGCAATTAGAATTGTTGATTGTACAACAAAAATGTATTCACTAATTAGTTGGATCATTTTTTCTATATCAAAATGTTGAAATGAATTGTTTCATAAAAAAAAAAAAATGTATTTAAAAAGAGAATTTAAATAAAATGATTGTACCAAGAAAAATTGTCTGTTTAGAAAGATTGTAATCATTGTAAACATCTATTTTCTAATCTAATTTCTTATCTCTCGCTTCTCGCATTCCCTTTCATAGATACATACTCTACTTCTCTTTCTCGACATCTTTCTATTACCGACTTTCAACTCTTTGCTGATTTTCATATTTATATATATGTACTACAACCTAAATAAAGAAAAATGTTTTCTTATAATTATAATGTAATGTTATAATTATAAAAGATCTTTAGATATTTATGCAATAAGAATAAACTTATTTAATAAGTATGGATAAGAACTTGTTGTTTCAGTCTGTAATGTTATGAAAAGAATTATATATTCTGGAATAGCAGAAGCAAAGGATTATATGTGGACATATAAGAAAGTACTGCATGTACCGAAATTCAACAAGATGCTAAAAATATGCAAATATTAGAAAATTCAAAATAATTACTTATTTACATTATAGATAATAATCACTTTGAATGTGTTAATCGTTTTAGTATAGTTGTTTGATTTTATTGTAATTCATATAATAGGTACGTTTTTAAATATATTTTGACTGTAAAAATTATTAATGATTTAATACTTTTATAGACATACTATCAAATACAATATGCAAATAATATTTTAATGCAATTTATTTTCAATTTGAATGTAATAACAAAATTCTTTGTAAATTCTCATCAATTAATGACAATTTAATTGATCTTCATAAATATTTTATATATTCAATTTGTATAAAAATTTGATGAAAAATATGATAATACCGATTTTAATAATTTTATGAGAAAATAACCATCTAAATCTTTTAGGCATTTAAAACGAAATAAGTACAATAATGTATAATATTATTCGTAATTATTAAAATATAAATTATATTTCGCAAAAATAAAGTAAAGATACGATAAATACCGCGTTTATCAGATATAACTTTATTTACTATTTTTGTCTTTACAGAATAAAAAAAAAAAAAAATCTAAGTACAACTCCAAGCTTCTTATAAAAACTTATTATACTATTAAATATATCGTTTAGTGTATCTTATATTTACTTACAATATAAGCGGCTTATAAAACTTATAAAAAAAATTTTAAATACAGCGTTTATTGCAATTACTATAAAATTATTAAAGCTTATATGTATTAATATAAAATAATAACAACAATAATAATAATTATAACAGCCTTAATATTAACATATATTTGCCTAAGGTAACTTCTTTTGTCATTTAAATAATCCGTAAATGATTAATTTGAGTAGATTGGAAAATGTATGGAAAATAATAAATATAAATTAAATATTATAAATACTGCATACGATAATTGTATGTAGATCAAAAGTAAAATAAAAATAAAAGAAATATATAATAAAATGTATAATATTTTGCTTAATCTTTTAAAAAGCTTAAGTACTTAGTTTAACATTTCCCCCCTCCCCTCCCATCCCGAATAATTCTTAAGAATATGCCATCAGTTTTATAACAACATTTTGCAAAACTACTTTCACTAACGCACACTAACAGCTTTATCTAATAAAATATTTAAAATAGCACGAACAAAATGTCTACCCAAATGATGTAAAATTTACATATTATCTATTTTCTTCCCAAAAATAATAGAGAAAATATTGGCTCGCTTATTATAAAGTATTTCAGTCATTCGATTTTAATGGTAACTTTTTTTTTAATGATAATTTTCTATATTTAACTATAGGTAACAAGGACATGGAGTGCAAGTGGAGGCCGCTTGATTGCGCAAACTCAAATTTTCATTCATGCACATGTATCTCTCGAACGACTAAATTAAATTTTCTTTGAAAACATCCAACCCGCCTCAACACCGTTTCATCGTCTATTTTAATAAGAGCTACATTGAAAGAAAAAAAAAAAGAAATAAATAAATAAATAAATAAATTAATAAACAACGATAGAGGGGAAAAAAAGAAGAAAAAGAGGTTAATAATATTCTTAGTTGCTCGGCCCTGCGAAATCTCGGGATAATAAACCCAGTTTCCCGATTTTGGCCAGAGATTCGAAGTACAGCCAGGCCTGCAAATTCATTCGACGTAACTTCCGCAGGAGCTCGACATGGTACACGGCATCTAGCGTTGAGCCGGACATCAAGGTCTCGTGAATGCGAGCCTCGCGTTTCGTTACGAGAAGCGTATTCCAGGGCGACCAGGGCATCACGGGCTCGAGACGCGCCAGGCAGAGCCGGCCGAGGTCGTTGCACTCGGAGATGACGGACCTGCCGTGCCAGACGCTTGTCATCAAGTAATGTATGACGTCGATGCCCACGGCGAAGGCGAGGCTGCCCGATCCGTCGTCGACTCTGCGGACCAAGAAAGGGCAATTTTCCTCTCTTCTTTTCTTTTCCTTTCTTTCTCCCTTTTTCTGTTTCTCGATCCCTTTGTGGATATTCGAGAGCTCGCTGAGCGAGATGATTACTTTCCGCGAGCAGAGTGGATTCAAATTAAATTGAGCTCTGCACCGAAATGCACGATAAATTTTTCACGGTGGCTCGTGTTATTGAATGAAGTGCTGCCGATTTTTAATACAAAATGAAGATGCGAGATTGAGATGAATGCAACGTGTCGGCTGCGCGCCTTTACTTATTGCATCATAAATTTATATATTATAGATAACTGTTTACTTATAAACGGATACTTACATCATCGCGATATCGCACGCGAGCATTTTCCAAGTTGGCTTAATTTATATTTTGCACTTTAGAATTTGCCCGCTAAGTCAGTCGCGATAATATTTATCAAACTTCTTTTTATGGTTATTTGTCAGAAATAATAAGCGCAAGTTTTATATCGATAGGAGAGCCGAGACGTGAAATTTCCTTGGGGATGTTACTTAAGAAGGAAGAAAAATAGAGGGATATTGGCTTTACGTGATAATGCTTTTATGACTCTTTAGTTATGCTCAATTTCACCGACTGATATCAATTGATCACCATTTTGATAATTATTTAAGAGATTACTAAACTTTCGAGTTTCAAACTTCGAATCATTATTTATCTTTTGTCGTTCAACAGAATTTACTTACTTTTTTTCATCCAATCTTTTATCCACTTTAGTAATAGTTGCTGTAATTTATCTTTGCGTTCAGTAAAAGACATCGTTAACATTCGTACGATTACGTTATAATTTTTGCCATCGACAGTTAGCATACATTGTCTCTCAATCCGTGGTAGCAATTTTTATTTTTTTTTTTTTTTTTTTTTTTTTTTTTTTTTTCCCATTATTGCATCATGTATCAATATTAATACATCTACCTCAATTCAAAACACTTGACATTTAATCTACGATTTAATTGCCTCTCTTTTTTTCTTTTTCTTCATCTTCTTCTTATTTCTATCTTTCGTTTATGTTTTCAAATTTTTACTCTATCAAATTTTTATTCTGTCATTAATTTTGCACTTGAATAGCGTGCGATTGTTCCATAATAGTCGGATTTGAATTGCACTTGATCTTTGGAAATAAAAACAGGTCTAACTGAGGGGCCTCGCAATTACCTCGAAGCCTCGCTGCTCCTCAGCTCCTCCAGCATCTTCTCGTAGATATTCGAATAGACTTTGGAATCGTTGCCCCTCGTCCTCAATGCGGTGCAATCGATGCACGTTCTCGAAAGTCTCCCTCGATGATCGACCTCAAAGTCCTCGAAGCTCCTTAACTTGCAGCATGCCGAGCAAAGCCTCATCCACATCGAGTGCCTCGGCTGATTAGAACATTGGATTTGTTGTAAATGAGAATTTCAGAGCTGGGGAACATTCTTGACGATGTTTGTGACAAAATTGTGCCATGTGTGCAGGGACGTGAATTTTTTATAGGAAAATTCTTATGATAGACCATAATTGGCACATTATATTCCAATAAGCGTTTGATCCTGCAAGGATGCAAGGATTGCAAACGATGCTTTGCAAAGATGCACAAAAATTATATGATACAATTTATTGTTGAGTTCGATAATTAATTGCATTCTACAAAAGCTGAATATACTCAACCAAGTGCTAGGTACGACAAAAACTTGTGAAAAACTATCGGACTACGAACTAAATAATTGGCAAAGCCTTTACATTTTCCTTCAATAACCACATTTATGCTTGCGCAGCTCTTTAAAAAGACAAAAGTTTTAAGTATTTTGCCCATAATTAATACTCAGATCGATACGTTACTTCGTTAACATGATTATTCCGTAAAATGAAGCCAGAGAGAATTAATGAAAATGTTTAAACTTGTCCATATAGCAATTACATTAAAAAATACTCGAATACACAATGATTTTCGAGCTTTGCAATTACACGGGAAACGAATGCTGTTTTAAAATTTATGATAAACTTGCACTCTAATTGAATTTTACATACTTTATAATTGTACGTTAATTGGCAAGAATTTCATGCACATAAAATAAACTGTCGCTTATGTAACTGTCGAAATATGCATTTTTATTAATAAAATTAAAATTATCGGTCATACATATTAACATATATTAACATAGGGGTACTTAAATATACTTTACGTATCAGAAATGATTTATCAGTGCTAAATGCGGTTTGAACATTACGCGCAATAATACAAATTTCTCCGCTATTAAGCTGCTACAATCGAAATAACTATCGTGTTTAAATGAACTGCAGTGTGAAAATTGCCGCGAACTAATTTTAAAATAATCTTTTTCACTTCACCGTAATTCTACGTGTGTGTATCGTTTAAATTAATTTCAATTTCATGCCCATTTCATTCAAACGAACAAATAACTACATCGAAATGAAGTGCTTAACAAATGTTGCTCGACGAGCTTCGAATGTACGTGCGCAGAGCGCAAAGTGCCGCATTCCAAGCAGATTAGAAACAAATTGCAGCTAACAATTAAAAAGCAGTTAATCGGCCTTGGGATCGATCCCCTCGTGAGCTAAATTTCAAGAGAATTTCCGGACCGACTACCTTCATACGATTATCATGGCGTAGGGAGTCGCGAGCCAGCGCCAGGAAGCCTAATCTCACGCGGCTCCTCAGGTGCTTCAGGCGCGACGAGTCGACCCTCGAGGATAAGAGGAACAGCTCCTGATCGATTAGGTTCTCGAGGCTCGAGGAGGCGCGACAAGTGTGCTGCGAAACAATTTTTTTCATACGCAAGAGATGCTCGATGCGCTCGTGGCCACCACCTGACGCCTCGTTGCCGCTGTCCTCGTCGATCATCAGACCCTCGTAAACGTCGCGGAGCTCGCGGGCGCGTTGCACGTTCAACGTCTTGATTTTCACACGCTTTTTCTCGCGTTCCTCCGGAGCACAGGACACTGCAATTTCACACGATACAGGTTACGCAGAATAAGTCATATATTTAAAAACAATTGACAATAGTAATAATAATAATAATAATAATAATATTAATAATAATAATAATAATAATAATAAAGAAGAAGAAAAAAATAATATTTCAATAATATATTGATAAGAGATTCAACGATATGATCGCTAAGATTTGAAAATAAAAGTACGGTGAAATTGGTATAAGCCAGCGCCTCGACAAAAAAAGAATTCCATGTAATCAAATTTGATTTAAAAATATTTTAAATTATCTCCTAAGGAATAATTTTAATAACGGACTCGTATTTATTCAACTTAAGCACAACTTTAATTTACATTAAACACAACTTTCTTTTAATGACAAGTGCATAGGCTATAATGGAATAACTTTTGATTGCTATTCTCAACTTGACTACAGAAAGAAACTGCACATAACTTTAAAATGCAATTTAAAAAATTAATTGTCATTATTTTTTATATAATATATTATTAATATTTCAAGAAAAATAGGGAGAAAATTTGGTATATCATTTTTGTAAAACAAAAAGTATCTATTTTTAAATTCTTCTTCTAATTTTAACAAATATCGATTACAACAGCCTTAAAGACAAAAACCGTTTCATTCGTTATATAATAGAGATTTATATTTTACTAACTTCTTTTAAAAGCAGTAATTTTAAAACTTCTATAGGCAAACACTTACTTTACGTAATTAATTAGGAGAGAGATTCATCTGTAACGATTTTTTATTCATGAAATAAAGCTAACAAAATAACAAAAATTCATAATAAAAAAAATTATAAATCTATTGAAATACTGAAAATCATAGATTACGTTGAGATTCGTAAAATCATGCTTACGTGAAAATAAATTAATTTAAAAGTAATTTAATTAATTTAATATTTCCAGAATACTTTCTTCAAACTAAATTCAACTAAAAACTCCTGTCTTTTTATCAAAAATCTTACTTATACATCTCAATGAAAAATCCTGTTAAGTGCATTATCTAAGTGAAGGAGAAAAGAATAATTCTTGAAATATATATCTGAGTGGGGACCTTACATTCTTCTATATAACCCTCACCTTCAAGATCTATCGGCTTTGATAAGTCCTTGAGAAACTTGCCCATGGCTCTCACGTCTTTCTTCTGCGAAATTTTGCTCCTAGAGCTTTCGATAGCTCTCAGGATCTCGATCTTCCGCTCTAAACGTCAGGTTTGCTCGACGACCCTAGATTTGCCCCCATGAGACTCACGGATTCTCGCCTCCTCGGCGACGCCCCAACAGTCCAGTAAATGCTGCAGTGGTGCCAAATCCTTGGGATTACGCACGTGAACATTAGGAAGTTGTAGTAACTGGAACCCATTGTCTAAAATAGACGTACTGCTAGAAAAAAAGGTGTGAGGATAAAAAAGATTTATAATATTTGCTCAGAAAAAGTATCGCACCTGTGAAAAAAATATTGTAAATTTCTTTGTTCCCATGTATCGATTTATTATATACCGTTTACTTGTTTATTTTAAGATACTAATATATGACTGAAATATTGATATATTTTTTCTCGAAGTAGAACAAAAATTGTGCTTTTTTGTGGGATATTATGGGATGTCGAAAAGTAAGGAAAACGAAATACATAAATTAATGTTGTTGTCATAATAATTCGACTGGAATTTTCTGGAGCATATAAAATTTTTATCTCTGAAGGCATATTATATAATTATATAATCGGACCAATAATTAGTTTCCCGAAATAAATTGTCAATACTCTCTTTTGACTTTCGATGATTTATGCTTTCATTATTAATCGCTTAACAGTCCATAAATATCAATAATTTTAATGAAACTTGATTACATCAATTTTTCATTTTTTTTTATTATAAAACTATCTACTGATTAATCATTTAAAGTGCCATATATATAATATTTGCAAATTAACAATTAAAGATTTGTAAAGGATAAATTTATTAAGCGCAATGCAATTATCGTGCATAAATTATTTTACATAAATAATCTTTAGAATGCTGTGGTGCATTTGTACCTACCAGGATTCGAGAATTTCCCATTTAAAGCATTTAAAAATAATCGATTCCGTATAAAATATAAAATTTAATTTAAAAATTTTTAATTATTTTTAAAATATTAACGTATAATTTTCTAATTTTACCAGTTGTAACTCTGTAGTGTGCTAACAGATATTGATCGATCCTCTTCAAAATCGCCATTACTACCAGTTACGGAAATATCGCCAAATTTTTTGAGCGAACATATGTTGTTGTCCTTGTCGTGGGTGAACTGGAGACTACGATGCGCTCTGCAAATATTTGCACTTTTGCTCTATATGCGGATATAGACTTACTATCATGTATTTTACGAAGCGGAAAAGGAGGAGGAAGGAGAGTAATATTATATGCCGTTGCAGCGGAAGTGCAAATAAGGCGTCGCACTATGCATATGGGAAGATAAGTCGAATTTGTAGAAATGACGTAATAAAAGAAAAAAAATTGCACAGTTTACATGCATACATTTTTTTTATCTGATTTTTCAAATAATAAATTTTATAAATAAAATGATGAATTTTAATATAAAGTACTTATTAAAATTGAAATTTGTAAGAAAATTTTAAAATGATATTGTCCTGTCTTTTATCGTAGACACTTTTACATTTTTATAAATGAAATACATTTAAGCAGACTTACTAATTACATTATCTCTTCATCTAAAGATGAATAAGTTTATTGAATTATTATTCTGAAGTGTTTACCTTTCATTTGATGCTTAATTATACAATTTTATTATTTTATGTTATATCGAATTTTTCAATTAAAAAAAAAAAATTTAACATGCGATTTACTAGCTACATATATTAAAAACAAAACATACTGCTATTTATTTTATTTAATATTCAATAGATAATTTAGTATACTAAACTAAATTTATAATTACCATTAAAACGTAGAGCTCAATTTTACTTTATTTTAAAAAGTCCATACAGTTTAATTAACTAAATATTTTGCCTTAGGCGCATTATTATGAAATACTATGTATTAAGTAAAATTGGTATATATGCAAATAAACTTTGTCCTTTATTATTTGTTCTATCCCACAGGTTTATAATGTCTCAATTAATTATGTAAAATTATCAAAGTTGACGAGCTGAGTTATAAATTATTAAAATCAACTCAATAAACATTTTTAGCAAAACACTTTGCAAATATATCGAATAATTTTTAATTAATATTATACCTTACAAAGTTTCTTCAAAGATCCTTTAAAATATCTGTAAAATTCAATTCTAAATGAATATATAATTTTGCATGAAAAAAGCTTGAACTGGTTATTAACTGCTCGATGTAAATGTTTATATCTAAAACATTTATGCACACAATACATAAATTCTCATTTTAAATGCACAATATATAAAATTTAAATAAACATTAATGCGATTTACAGCCTAATTATAAACAAATCGAAAGACGTCACTATTAGAAATTGTGACATTTGCATAAGAAATATTTGAAATAAATGTATACAATGCATTGTACTTGTGAATTAAATTTGTCTTAGTAATTAATTAAAGATTTATATTTATAAAACAATATGTTCATACTTATAATATTATATATTATTATTGAAAACTATATCATTTAATCGGAAAGCTGTAAGTTAACTAAAAAAAGTTCTAGTTTATGTATTTAGTTTATTTACATGTTTATAAATAATTGGAAGTTTAAAAAATTTTGATTAAATTTCATACACAATTTATATATTGTACAAATAAAATATTTCTTATAAAAAAATTATTTAATGCTAATCCGAAGAAATTGAAAGTCTAAAGTGGAAAATAACTAAATAACAATTGAAAATAAAAATAAATCATATGGTTAAAGATTATTCACATTGATTTACTATTTTTTAACGGGATAAATTAAAATTGATATATAATAATAAATAACAAGTAAAAAATTATATATATATGAACAATTGTCTAACGTATTTATTTATATAAATATACTTTTTAATTTTACTTATTTAATCTTTAAACATAAACTTAACCTTATTTTCAACTATATGCTTCAAATACTATAAATTATATCTAAAATAAAATAGAATGTGAGTAACGCATTATTACTATGTTAACATAAATGTATGTAAGTGTTTTGTTTTGCATTAAACCTTTTATTTGCGTTTCTACATTATTCTTAATAAAGAATATCAAATACTATCGCACTTCTGAAATTTATAACTAAACGTAGAAAATTACTTAAAATCAATAAAATGATTTGTTAAAAAAAAAAAACAAATACTATTTTTTTAATTTAATTTTAACTAACCTATAATTAATTACAAAACCAGTAGACTTAACTTTATATTGAATAAGGAAATATACGAATACAGATAAATCACACAACATACATTATTTTACGTGCTTAAACTTTAATATTATTTACTTAAAGTAAATTCTTTATATTTGATTTCAAATATTTTATTTTCAATATATATATATATATATATATATATATAAATATGTTTCTAATAACTGTATTAAGGCTAAGTCCTTTCTTAAGAATAAAAATCTCACGATTACTATAAAAAAAAATGTATACAAACATAAATTATCCGTATTAGTGTTTATTAAAAAATCTGTTGAATAAAAGAATCATATGTAGAATGTATCAAGTTTCATCTAGCGAAATAAGCAACATTTTATCGTATCCTTTATCCTATCGGTTAACACAGACGAAACACGTAGTAATAAATATACGGGGAAAAACGTTGAAAACAAAATGAGTAAAAAAAAATATGAACACCATGTGGAATAACCAAGTTTGTATCCCGAATGTAGCTATCTCAGTAAAAGTAGGCTCATCGCCATCTAAATTACTTTCTAGATAACGTTGTAACCGCAAACCAGCTGACCATGTAAAATATCCATATATTAGTGGATAAGCTTTTTGATCGACCATAAAAAAATCTATAGATCTTCCGAAATTATCAGAGTGCCAATCCCGTGTTTCGTTTAAACTTCCCCAAGACGATATAACAACTATCGCTCTTATCCTTTCTCAATTCAATACAAACGTATAATGATTTTGGATTGTAATCAAGAAAAATAATCAAGATCGTAATAGCCGACTAATATGATTAACCTTGATTTCCTACATCCAAACGTACCTACCAACAATCAAAATTTATTGATACGAAGATTTTTACACATAAAGCTTAAAAAACAAGTCTATTACAATGATCTTAAATTTTATGTTTGTATAATGTATTTTTTATATTTACAATTATAAAAATGTAGAGCAACGATTGTCATAAAAAAAAAATCCGAATAACAGTATCTAATGACATATGTACCGCAAAAAGATTTCTCTACAATTAGATTATCACCATTCAATTTGACTCATCCATACAATGAACTAAATATTCAGTAATTTTTTTAATTTTAATCAAAAGCTGAACATTCATATTCATTATATTGATAAGTTTGAAGCGAACCATTACAGAAAATAAGTAAAAGAAATTATAATTAAACTAAAAGATCAATGGTATAATGACTTTTTCTATCGTCGGCCGCCAAAATCGATCATTCTAATCTATCATTAATTGCTTGTAATTTAACAATAAAGATACATTTACTTCATAAATAATATTATCATTATTATTGTACATTCTAACATTATTAAGAGATAGTTGATGTTAATTCAATATTACTCTGAATTTATTATACGAATGAAAGTTAAGCTCTCAGCATAAATAATAATTTTTAAAAAAATTAATGGTTCTGTTAAAATAGATTATTTAATGAATTACTAAAACAACTACTTATAATATCAAGTCAACGTTCATTAAATTATAACTTTGAAAATTATACCATAACTATGCCTGAACTTTGTCTATTCGACTATTTATCATAACGATGCATATTTTCTCTATAAAATAATGGTACACCACCATGTTCATATACAAGTGGATTACATATATATATATATATATATAATTTTTTTTTTTTTTTCGTTGTTTCTTGTTTCTTCATTCCTCAGTACTACCTCGTGTGTCCAAGCGTGAAATTAAAAACTTTGCTAAACACCGTTAAAAAAAAACCACACGTAAGACGATAATCGCGATACCTGTAAAATCTTTGTATCTTAATGGCAGCTTCTTGGCGCCGCTGTAGCTCCATCGAGCTCCGAGCGATGATAAAACTCTCGCCCAACTCGGGGAAGCAGATGCCATTGGCTTGGACTGCTCGCTCGATCCCGCCGGTGCCAATCGAACGCGAACATCGTGCGGGTCCGGTCATCTGTACCGAGACCGAGACCATCTCGCGTTGGGGTTGAGTCCGATAGATGAAAGATGTTTGGGAAGCTGCATCGTGATATTCGATATTGCACTTGGTATCCCGCCAGCCACCAAGAAACGGTTTCGGCGAAGTGCGATCCTCGATCTCTACTACAAAGACCATATTTAATAGATGGACCCTGGAATTGTAATTAACCAACTGTTAGTCCTTTGGCATTTACGCTTTTATCTGGATGTTTTATCAGAGATTTATTCGAATTATTATGAAAACAATTTGTCATCATCGGTCTACTATGATAATTTTATTAACCAACGATTATTTATCGCATTTGAAATTTATCGAAAATTAAAAGGATTTCAACTTCTCTTGTAATTTATTCCACTTTTTACTTCAATTATCTAATTGAATTTCGGTAAAAATTATAAAAAAAAAAAACTATAGTTGTAATATTTCCAGTGTCAGCGTTTGTGTAGGGTAAACAAAGCTTCATAAACTAAAACCAATATACTTTAAAATACTTTTCAATATGATATTGTTTAATAAATAATTTAAAATGAGATAGTAAATAGCATTGACAATTTTCTAATAAAATAAAGAGAAATAATTTGTATTATTAAAAATTTTTCTTATTCAGAACTTATTTCAAATTTTCTATATATAGATTAAGATAAAATCATATGTAAAAACTCAATATAAATAATTTTTATATAGTAAAAAATGATTAAATTTCTTTTAAGAAAATATTATATATAAATAATTATATAAATGATATTTATATAAATTTATGACGAAATTTTGTACAACATTTCGTTACAGTTGCTTGAAATTTAGACACTGCACTGTAAAAATTAAACTATAAATGTTTTAAAATATGTGAAGTTTTACTTATAATATAAATGGGTTCCATAAAATTATGAGAGAAAAAAAAAACAAACAAACGCTTATTACAAGCCTGGATGACACAATACTGGACAAAATAATTAAAATGTTTAAATACAACTGCATTAGGAAAAAAGTGGTTGCAAAAATTGCACCTACGGCGTTGAAGGCGTGAAAATAATTGAGGAAGAATTTCCAGTATTAAGAAAGGAATGTAAAAGATTTATTTATGAAAAAAAAAAAAAATGATAATGCCTAAAAAAGCATGCGTCAGAGTCTAAAATGCGCATTACTTGTGTAGGTAATAAAGAACGTAAATTTAGGTTAAATATAATTTATACGTTAAAATAAAATCACATTATGCAAACTTATATGATAAATAAGATAATTTATTAAACAAAAATTATGGTAAAATAATGAACAAATTGTAATCCGAAACATGTAGAAAAATATCTTTCTTATAGATTTGCCTATGTATAGACATGTGTAATACAAACATATGTATACGCTTATATATTTAATAAGTATATAAAATCAAATATATACAAATATTTCAATAAGCATGGATATAAAACATTATTGTTGAACTTTTTTTTTAAAAAAACTGCAAACAAAACTGACATATTACGCGTCAATTAACAAATTTAAAAATAATATTAGTTAAAGAATTAAGTTATGTTTTACTACGGTAGAAATATAATTTCAACATGAAAAAGCAAAAGCTTAAACAATTATTGTAATACATAATTTCATTATTATATCTAAATATCTTATAGCTAATGTATTGAAACTTATACTTATGTGTAATTAAAATCCAAGAGATATTTTATTACACGTTTGCCTTTTCATAAGTACAGTTTTACGATTCTAGTCACAAATCAACATATTCAATAAATATATTTTCAACGGAGTAATTCAAGTGAACATAGAATAATACGATATAATATTCATAAATATAGAAATTATAAATATTAAGAATGTAATATCTTATTAACATCAACAATTATCCAAACACCATGTATTAATGACAAAAATTATAAACTTGAAAATTATAGTGTATTTATTTATTGTTATAATTTTTTAATTATATTCATAAATTTTTTTTTCATTAAATTAATGAACAAGATTTATTAAAAAAAATGGATTTCGTTCTTATTTCTTATTATAAAAAACTGTATACTATTACTTATTTTTCATTATTAATTATTTTAATTATGAGAATAATTGGAGATGATTCACAGTAGGGCAAAATTAAATAGAATTGAAATTTATTTTAAATTTTATTTTTAACAGATACCTAGAAAATAAATTATAAATTCATAATTTTCCACAGTTTGCACAATATTTCGGATACTAGACAAAATGAATGGATACTAAATATTTTAATTGAAAGTGTATAAGCCTTTGAATTTCATGAAATTTTTCAAACAAAAGAAAATCCTTCATCGCATTAATAACAAAATTAATATATACTTTCGCTTACTATAAAAATTACTTATAAAATTATTCATTCCGAATAAAATAAAAAAAGAGATTGGATTATTGAAAATACGGATACGGAATATATAAAATTAGTGAGAAAAAAGCACACCAAATACCATATGTAAAGTCGTTTCAGCGACCATCTAAATATTATAAGGAATCTAAGTAACTATAACGAAAGTAACTATAACTATAATAAAAAAAAAAAAAAAAAAAATAATAATTTCGTCAACTTACTTCACTAGTCAAATTACTCATAAAATATAACCGAGTTATGCCCGACACTTCCAAATATACTACTTTCGTACATCACATTTTAGTACGTACAGCTGTATATTCTTTATAGAATTTAACGGATAAGGATAAAGAATAATTTTACGAGAAAAAATCATTAGAATTATAATATATACTAAATCGCAAATAATTTAATTTATCGCTAAAAAGAAGAATTCATTAGAGAAGAATCACTATATAGAAGGAAGATAAAATAATTATAGTTATCAAAGTTATTTCGGAAAAGGGATTATTTTTTAAATATATTTTAGATTTTTACGGATAAAATAAGAACGAAAAAAACATGAATATAAGGGGGAAAATGTGGTATAATAAGTTTGGGATGAACTTTACATGGATTTTTTAATGTTCATGTATTTAAATTTTAAAACAGATACAAAATTAACTTTCATTCAAAAGATGAAGAAAAAAATTTTATGTTGACCTCGAGAGAGTTTTAAAAAAAAAAAAAAAAAAAAAAAAAAAAAAAAAAAACACCTTTAACAATATTAAACATAAAGAAAAATATATAATCACAATCTAGCAACAAAAAACTCTTATTAATAGAATCAACAATATAAGAGGACGAAAAATTGCTTTCTCTAGATACGGTAGAAATTTGTGGTGAAAAAATGGAATCAGAAGTTACAACTCACTGAAGCTGCAATTGAGTATTTAAAATTAAATCAACAAAAAATAAAATAACAAAATTAATATTAATTGATATATTAATGAGAGAAAAATTAGAGTCGATAATATAAAAATAAATAATGACCTAAATGTTAAAACAAAAGCGACGAAATATATTAATAACTAATCAATGGATACCAAAATGAATATTAAGTAAATCAATAGAAAGAAAAAATTACTAAATAGATCTTCACGAGAATCAACACTAAATGGAAGATTTTATTGAATGGAAATGAACGTTATGAATTTAATATATAATAATAGTATACTTAGCGATGCCAAAGATAATTATTTATATTAATATGCTATATTAAAATGTAGTTGAAGCAACAACTAGTCTTAATAATCAATACATAATACAAGATTAATTATTTAATCGCATTATAAGATTATATAGATACGTAATTTTAAAGTCCCAAAAAGCTTAAAAACTTTTTATACCAAACGTTAAATAATTCAAAATAGATTATACAAAAAAAAAAAAAAAAAAAAAAAAAAAAAAAATTACATACGTTCATTTAAGATAATATGCAATAATTGTTTATTTAACAGCTTATTATATTTAATAAGCTAAGAGAATAATCATGCATGTTATAATAAGGAACGACCCTACTTTTTGCAAATAAAAAAATATTAAATAAGCATTCGTTAAGGTACGGTAACAAACGTTGTTGAAGAAAATCATTACATTGCGAGTAAAATGGCAATCTAAAAAAGTCAAATGATTTTGTAAATGAATGGTGCGTTGAATTACATAAATAATGTAATTACTAGTAGAGATTGAAAAAGATATTAAGATATTAAATAGCTACTATTTAAAAATTAAAATATATATATATAGCTGACGATATCAAGACTTCCCTGTGTTTTCATTAAATAAATATTGTTTTAGGTACATTTTTCACGAATTTAGAAAGAGCGATTGATTAATATTGAAAATGCAAGTATCTCAGAGTAGATTGGTGTATGACCTTTATAATATCGTATTTATAAGCGTTACAAAAGCCAAAATATAAATAAATTTGATTACTGTTACAGCTACGTGTTAACTTTGCAAACTGAGCTAATGAAATGACGTATTTGAACAACAGTAAAGCGCAGTATCAAGTAAAAGAATCTTGATAATCTTATAGAAAACACAATTTAGTACATATAGGAGAAGAATTTACGCAAATTATTTATACTTAACTACATCCCACAATCCCAGAATAGCAACAAGCAAATACACTGTACAATCGCTAAATAATTGCACAGCTATATGAGCAATAAAAACGGATTAAGCGCATTGGCGGTTGTCAATACACATATGACAAATACAGACTATTCATCCAATGAACTTGCTTTTGGACAAAAATCTTACACGCTATCGAGCTACCATAAAATTGACAGCTTTTCAATTTACCATCAATATACAAAATAGCAAATAGAAATTTTAAGCCAATTACAAGCATAAGCTATAATAATAAATATACCTTGCAGTATTGTGCTGACTATAGGAAAATGAAGGAATATGAAGGACTTTGGAGGATTAAAAATTATACATTTACACGCGATATGAATGATCACGTAAGATTACGGAAATTATACCGTTGTAAGTACAATAAAAACTTACAAAGAATAGTATAATGGAAACTGCAAACATTTTAGAAAATCAAGTACAACTATCACCGCCTCGAAAAATCCAACACCACAATGCATCGAATAAATATTAGAATATCATTTAGTTACTTGCAACTATATCTGAATATAAATTATAAAACTGAATAAATTTTAAAAAATTACTTTATGTAAAAAGAACTGTGTTTGGTCCTGAAAACTAACGAAACTATCTCTCACGCTATAACAAACAAAATC